GAACTTTCATGTGGAAGTCTGGTTCAAATTATGATGTTATTAATGATGTTTTATTTAGATAAGAAGATAAGGATTGTCACCGATTCAAGAGTTGGTCATCGACTCAACAGGTAGTCAACAAATCAATAGTTCCTAATTTTGGCCTATAAAAGGAGGTATTTGTCATGCATTTAGGTATCTTGGTTTCTAGATCAAGATCATGCTCTAATTTTCTCTTTTTGTGTTTTTGTAATGCTTAAGTTTTACTTTCATTAATATCTTGTTTATGCCTTTTATTTCATTTATTTTACTTAGTTAACTTTTATCTTATTTATGTTCTTATCCTATTTATTTATGTTTCTCTCTTTTATTATGTTTAGCTAAGTTTATTATGTCAAGGTGAAAAAGTTAAACTAATGGTGTAAGAATAAGTATAATGTAATCTTAATATGGACTTTAATGTTTGATACTAACATGTTTTGTATTTGTTATCTTGTTCACTCTTAATACTTTGTTTATTAAATGGTTAATCTAGATTTATGTTGTATAACACTTAGTATAACAAATATTTAGCACTTTCATAGCCTAATTATATGATGTAACTGACACTTGTACTATGAAAGGAACTTGATTTGTTGTTAACATAAGTTATAATCATGAATGTCTGACAATATTTACAAGTATTAACATTATTTGAATAAGATAATTAATGAAGTGATCTTAACAATTTATAATTTAATTGGAATCTTCTTTGTGTGTGGTTTCCATTTGAGTAATAAGAGTTTATACTATACTTGTTTGAAATACCATTATTGGATTCTCCAACCTTGACATTTGTTGTTATCATTGTTTAATTCTTACATTGATCTTCCATTTCAAAGTTCTCATCAACTTCTTCGTCTTCTTTTTCTTCTTCTATTATTATTATTGTTGTTGTTATTATTATTGTATTGTTGTTATTTACAATTTATACAATTAACCTCCCTGTTATTCGATCCTGGTCTTGCCAAGTTATTTATTACTTCACAACTCCTACACTTGAAAGAAGACATCAATCTTTTGGTCATGTCATGGTTCAATTCAAACTAGAACATCATTTGGTTATTGGATCATAATTGGAGCTATAGAACATGGATTTAAGTTTGGTTTATATGGATGGAAAGTTAAGATATAGGTTTAAAACTTTCATGAAAAGTTTAAGATTCAAACGGTTGTTTTCAAGTTCAAATTATTGCAACAATAGAGAAGTCAAAGTCCTGCAACCCATACATTATTCATTATTCAACCCTTATCTCGAGTTCTAGGAGTCCAAATGAGCTCATTCTTACTTTGTTAGGCAGCTAAGACAAATTCCCAGAACTTTCATGAAGACTATCTATTCAAATTTTGACGTTAATAATGATGTTTTGTTTAGATAAAAAGATAATGGTAATCACTAAGTCAAAAGATGGCCACCCACTCAATAATTAGTTATCAAATCAATAGTTTTGAATTTAATATACATTTAGACATCTTGGTTGTTTAGATCAAGATCATGCTTTTACTCTCTTTCTTTGTATTTTGTAATATTCAAGTTTTATTTTATGTTATATTAATCTCTTGTTTATGCCTTTTATTTCTTTTCATTTACTTAGTTAACTTGTATCTTATTTATATTTCTTTCTTTCATTATGTTTAGTTAAGTTTATTATGTCAATATGAAAAAAGTTACACTAATGGTATATGAATAAGTATAGTGTAAACTCAACATAGACTTTAATGTTTGATACTAACATGTTTTGTATTTGTTATCTTATTCACTCTTAATACTTTGCTTGTTAAATGATTAATCTAGATTTATATTATATAACCCTTGATATAATAAATATTTGACCCTTTTATAGCCTACTGTATGGTTTAACCGACACTTATGCTATGAAAGGAACTTAATTTGTTGTTAATATAAGTTAGCATAATGAATACCTGACAACATACAAGTATTAACATTATTTGAATAAGATAACTAATATAATCATGTTAACAATTTATAATCCGATTGGAACATCCTTTGTATGTGGTTTTCAGTTGAGTAATAAAATGAGTTTATACTATACTTATTTGAAATACCATTAGTGGATCCTCTAACCTTGACAATTGTTTTATCCTTATTTAATTCTTATATCAATATCTCATAAAATTCTCATAAACTCTATGTTTTATTAAATATATATATTATTTGTAATTTATATAGTTCACTTTCATATAGTTCGATCTTGGTCTTATTAAATTATTTATTATTTCAACACTTCTGCTCTTGAAATAATGCATCAATTTTTTAATTTTATGAATAAATTCATTCTTAGTAGAGCCACATTATATCTCAGCTTTCGACCTTCATAAAAATTCACCTCCTTCATTCTTGTATGAACTATTGGATGTGGTAGGATCTCGTCAGATATTGAATTATTCCTCGCATAAGGGAATGGAGTGTTTCTTCCTTCACCCTCACCTTCTTGATTGTTCACTATGGTTTGTAAGGTAGCATTTATTGAGTCCAGCAATGGAATGAATTGCTCATTCTTTTTGTTTTGTTCCTCTCACTGTTTCTGATTTAGCAAAATTTCTCCATGTCCTTACTCTACAGTTGATCTTGAAGTTTTTCATGCATTCATTGCATTTGTTCCTCCATTTCCTTTCCTTGCTTTTCCAATACTTTAACTTTATTATTTTCCACCATGTTTAATTGTTAAGTATGATAGTGTGGATCTTTTAAGTTCTGAGACCAATTTATTAAGACCTCTTCTTAACAAAAGTAGATAAAAGAATCGAGATGTAGAAATAGAAGAAGAGAGAGAGATTGAACTACTAATGCAGACTTTTCTTAGCTTTATTTCTTGATTTACATGTTACTGGTATCGTTCCTTTTATACATTGAATTTCCCTTCAATTTTAACTGTGCTTCTACTAATAATTTCTAACTGTTAACCAATTCTCCAACTGTTACCAACTACTCCACGTGGCAATTCTTAATTTCTTATTAAAGAATACAATTCTGCTCTTCTTTCTTCATGTCAGATTGTAATCCTACAGGCGCGTGCAACTTCTGCCCCTCACTTCCTCATCAAAGATCGGGTGTTGTGACATTTTTGTAAGTTGATTGTATAGGGTATAGAATTAAGTATACTTGTTTCCTATGATGGTTAGGCTAGAGTTGATTAATGTACCCATCTATGAAATGTATAAAATCCTGCTTCTTGTCGTGTAAAAATCCTGCTACATTCTTTAAGTTGTGCGAACTCTGTGTGTGCGCAATTCTTGCTGACACTCCTGGTTTATCTTGGTTCTTAATGTAAGCAAATTAGCTGCAAAACATCCATGTAATGAAACATAGACAAATCTGCATACATTATGTAAACATAACAAGTTGAACCTCAAAGACTTCAAATTCAATATAATATAATGAAGTGAAAAAATAATACAGCCAAACAAATAGGTCAGTTGTTAATGGATTCTTTGGCGTTTAACATCCTCCACAGGCACAGGGTTTGTAAAATGCAAGAATCCGTATGTTCTGCAGAATACTAATACTGATCCTAGACATCTGCTCGATATGCAATACCCTTGGTCATTGTAATATGCGGAAACACAAGGATGGTCCAACCCTCTGAAATGCGTGCAGAACCATAGAGGAACTGTGAATGAAGATGAAGGAAATTTTTCCCAGAAGCCAAGCGTAGCCTTGTATGTGGATTCTAGGAGGAAACAGATGACTGATATTTTGCATTCATCCCAATATCAATGGAACTTGGTCTCATTTGGTTTGCTGCCCCTAAACGCTGAAAGAGAGAAGAATGACCTTGTTGCTGAGACAAGAATATTAGAGGAAGTCAAAGTCTACTTAAATTCACCACTAAAGAAGTGAGGAGAGAGACAAAGAGAAGACTATAAATTACTCCAGCGTACATGCAAGGAGGAAAAGCCAATAAGAGAAGACTATAAATTACTCCAGCGTACATGCAAGGAGGAAAAGCCAATAAGAGAAGACTATAAATTACTCCAGCGTACATGCAAGGAGGAAAAGCCAATAAAGAACACAGCACAGAGAACATGAATAACAACCTTTAGTTGTAGAGGCTGCAGTTGAGAAATGACCCTTATGCAACTGATGCGAACTCTGGGCATTGAATTTGCTTATGTTTGATTGAGCTGCAACCAGAATAGTCGATGCATGTTATATGTAGCATTTTGGGTTTTTTTTTATTGCCGGTAAATTAAGCATGCAAGGGGAGGAAAGAAAAGATCACTTCTAAATATCCAGCTTTTATTGAGGAAAAAAAAACAAAATTAAAGAATGGCTAAAGCCAGGAAGCAAAAGTACCCAATGGAAGTTCGTGAGCCTTCACATTTCTGTCATATCCTTCGAAGAAAGAACTCTGTTGCTTCCCATGGTTTTTCGAATGAAGGGCTGCCTTTCTCTGTAGATTGTCGGTGTTTCTCTTATTGATAGCTTTGGATTCCTCACCATCATCTTCTCCTTCAGAAAAAACATATGGGCTAGACCAACCTGTCATATTTGCATCTCCTTTACTCTTCCGAGCAAATTTCAAAAGCCTCTTCAACCCTTTGGGAGCCTCTTTTTGATACACCACTGCAGGAGGATTTTCAGCATTTCCCCACTCGACAATATCAGGTTCACTTTTATTGTCTTTTTGCAGCATCTGTGAAAGAGAATGACGAACACCTTGACGTGGCAATCCTACAGGTGCAACAAGGACTGGAGAGCTATGTTGAGTTGTGTCATCATCATTCGTGCAAGGCAGATTCTGTTGCTCTTCTATTTCCACTCATGCACTAGGGGAGATAACTGAATCTTCATGGAACTGGAAATTTGCCAAAGATTGAACCATATATTTGAAGCTATCATCTGCATCAGCGACAAGCTCATTGAAGTTCTCCATCTCACCAGAATTCTGATGGCCATTTTCCACAGTTTCCAACTCCGTAGCACCATCAAAATGACTCGCTGGCACATCATCCTGATCTTCATGCTCGCTAATCTGGACAGAAGCATTAACAACCACCTCATTCTCTTTAGCCACTTTCTCTCTAGTTTCTGACTTACTCCCACAGTTTACAGAAGACTCCAGCAGCTGGGAAGCTCTTGTCTTTTTCACAATGGGAGGGCCACTTCTAGATCCCTTGCGGAGGAACGGTTTCACTTCCACTGGCACTACACTGCTTTTTTTGGTAACCTTATTATAGAAACTAGGCTTCAATGGAACGACATCAGAACAATCTTCAGCAACTGCAACAACTTTTGTGTTTTTTCCACTTTTCATTACAGTTTGCTGCATCTTCTCTTTTACTCCCTTCAACCTCCTGTCAGCTTCAGTTCTTGTTTCCTTCACATTTCTGTGCTGAGGCTGGGATCTTTCAACTTTAGGATTTGATCGAGGAAGTGATGTTGCAGGCTGGGGTTTCCGACTTCTTAGTGTGGCACCAGCAGATGAGATCCCTGAAGGAGTTTTTGATGGAGATGATAATGGTTCTCTGATTGGTGGTGTTGATGGCCATGATTTTAGATTGGCAGGCAAGTTCGATGTTTTAGATGAAACCTTTTTTGTGACAGAAGATTTTGGGCTGTCTTTTCTGAGATTTGCAGGTTGAGATGGATTCTTGATAGATTTTTGTGCTCTGCTTGGCAGATGCTTCTTACCAACATCCTCTACATATACTGTAGCTATTTCAGCTATCCTCCCATCAAGAATTTGCTGCATCACTCTAAATTGCGCTTCTTTTTATGCTCTCTTTTCAGCATTCTCTCCTCGAAGTTTCCTATCCCTCTTCTCCTTGTAGTGATCATAAAATCCACCCCTCTGCTCAGATGGGATATTTTGGTTTTTGACAGTTTTAGGCTTTTGGGTTTTCACAGGCCGGCTTTCCATCATTTTCATTAACATCTGATTCAGTTCTGCTTCCTTTTGCCGACTCCATTCCACCGAGTCTGGTGTCCTTTCATTTCTTTCCTTTCCATGAGCAGCATTAGCATCTGTTTCAAAATCCACTACATGCTGTCCCTTTTCTTCCCATCTTTCCAACTCTCCATCAGCTTCAGCAGTATCAACAGGATTTTGACATCCTGATGTAATATCAGACTCTAATTTTTCTTGGATCAAATTCTTTGAGATTTCTTTATCTGCAATATCATTGCAAGGCAGAGGAACAGAGTCTTCAAAACTTAGTTCTTGTTGGCAGAGACTGGAAAGTTCTGCGACACCAGAACTCCATCTTCTTAAAACAGCTTTATTTGTACAAAGAGAATTGTTCGACAATGAGCTCTTTTTTTGGGCATCTATGCTTTGATCCTTTTGTTTTCTTTCGAAAAGACTGATTGCATCTTGAACACTCATTCTTTGGACATTACTCTCAGGTTTCTTACTGGATTGTTCTGATCCTTCATCCTCCCTACTAATTTCAGCTTCATCTCTATGAGATGATGTCCTTTCTCTGTTAGGATAAAAATTGAGGCTCTTAATTGTTAGTGCAGCTGCCCTGTGTGATCCAGTTCTCCCAATTTGAACCCTCCGCATTGGGGATGCTGACCTTCTGGGTGCTGCTGATCTTGAAATAGCTCGACCTCTTTCTGCAGATTTTTTATTTTGATCGCTAGAGTCTGAAGGCTCCCCACTATCAATTGAGCTCTGTCGCTCAACCTGGGCAGCCTTGGCTGGTGAAACACCATATTTTACCGGTAGTATTGAATATATCGGTCTTGAAATTGGAGTATCTTCATCCATCTTACTTACTTTGTCAATTGTTAATGAATTTTTGTCATCATTTAGAAGTACAGCTGCCTCACCCTTTTGGCTCAATTCTAAGATTTTGCATAAAGAATTCCTGATACATACCAGATGAAATCTAGAGTCAGAAATATAATATTCCATACATTTAAAAACTAAAGTAAACATTATACGTAAGGTGAGGCTGCAACTATAATTTTTTTGAAAACTAGGAATTTAGATCACCAATGCACAATTTGTTTTTGTGGGTGACTTACTTAAGAACTGTTGCGCCAAAATATTCACAAAACTCTACTAAAGAAGTGATTTCTTTACAGGAGCATATGGCACCAAAAGCGTGGTTTAGGGCTGTAGCCAATTCTCTTTTTAATGCTGTAAGCCTCAGATCCATAGCTCGCAGCAATTCATTCCTGGAAATATAGTCATTAATAGCTTAGAGGATATGCAACCAATATGGAAGAAAATTGGAAACAACAAGCAATCAGAAGAACTTACTTTGATGTATCTGATAATGCAATTTTCACTTCAGCCTAAATAGGTCCAAACAACCTATTTTAGTTGTTATAACATTTAATATAACGTAATCCAATTTACAAATAAGAGAGAGCTCATAAAGACAGAAAGGTAAAAGCAATTACTTTGAGTGTTGGTTCTGTCTCAATTGAGTCATTTCCATCTGTCATACAAGGAAAGATACACAATACACATTTGATAAAAACTGAACTCAGAAGATCTCAGCAGATTCAATACAAGCACCCAATTGTTTTAAGCCAATATGTCCATAAAGCACAATAGCTAACTACTCCTGCCATGACAACAGAAGTCGACTTGTATGCTTGAACTTCCCATGATGCAAACATTATATATTTTGTCAAACATAAATATGGCATGAATTGGAATCACCTGTGAAAACAAGTTTAGTTCATGGAGACCATATTGTTTACGATTTTAGATGAGAAAGAGCATCTCTTGTTTTTGATGGAGGTGGAGTGACCAGCCAGAGTCAATGAGTATTTAAAAATCATCAAGTTGATGACTATATCTCGCACATTTTATACTTCCTTATAACTCACTGCTTCTAAAACAACTTTATGACTATAATTTTGCTACAGATGAAGTGATAAAAACCATATAGCATCTTAAACCGATTCATTTCAGGAATTCCTTTGTTAGTAATGGAAAATTACTACGACTATTGGACGGAAAACTCTACTTTCTAGAATCATGAGTAACATAAGTATCTACTTTCCATGTTTCTTTAAAAAACTTACCTGTTTCCCCACTTTGAGAACGATCCTGATGCCCCTGACAACATCATTTTTTTGTTAACAAGACACTGTAGACAACATAATATCACAAAAGAAAGGGTACAACTGACCTGAGCATATAAAGAAAGATGAAATTTTCTGGCTTCCTCCAATTGAGAAATCTCACCCTCGATAATCCTGCTGGTATTCACTAAATCAGGCGAGCCAGCAAGTTGCAGGAATCTGACAAAATTACAAGTGTTTCAGTAACAGGAGAAGCAAGCACCCACATTTGCAATAAAAATCAACAGAAAGCAAGATGCACGTCTAAATTACAAGAACCTGTTCAAAGTTGATATTGTGAACCATGGTACATTGCTGAGTTCTCCTGTTACTTGTAGTTTGAAGATAGCATTAGATCCTTTAGCATAAATTTTATGTACTTCTGGCAAATGTGGCAAGATTTGCTCCAGTAGGCCAACAGCTAATTTCTCAACTTCATCATCACCACAAACAAATATCTCATACCTAAAATAACAGTGGGCATGTTAGAGAAGTTCACCACCAACCAAGACTTACCAAAAAAAAAAAAGAACATAGAAAAAACTGAAAAGAAATGCCTCTATATGCTTTGTGATGAGAGTAATATCTATCAAATTTCAAGGATAAATGCAATCAATGGCGCCAAGCTTAGGAAGCAGGACAGAGCTGACTAACAAAGGAAACTAGAACCGTGAATGCTTTCACCCCCTTCCACCTAAAAAAATGAAAAATTTTAGCTCAACACTGCCCCCCGCCCCCTAAAGAGCCTGAATCCATTCAAAAAGTGCAGATCTCCTTAATTAGTAAACCATAATCATATTTATTTCATGCACGAAAGTGCTAGCATAGCATTTTATACCTCTTAAATATTGACAGGACATTAATCAATATTTGTACTTCTTATATGGGTTTTTTCGAAGGATAATCTTAGATATAAAGCGTTCCATTTCTCGATGAGTCGACATTTGTGCCCCCTGCTTTGACTTTTTTTATTTTTTTATGAAATGGTTGTTCTTGAAGCAAAGCCATGCACCAGAACTGGGAAATCATTTTTTGCCATTGAGCTGAAGAAAAAATTGGCCCGTGTAGCAGATCAGTTTAAATTATTTAACTGTTCAATAATATAAAGCATCTAGGGCAAAATGCTTAAACTATCTCTTACTGGGGGGTGGGGGGGGGTGTTGTGTGGGGACTGACCTGTTTTTGGTTGGAAAAATCTGAATGGTAGCATAATCCCATCTATTCCACTGGCCATCCCAACAACCTAAAAGGAAAGGAGAGTTTATCCTTGCAGAGAACAGAAGATCAACCTCACATGATGCAATGCTTCAACTTACTTGTACATGTTCAGTTATAACCATTACTTTAACAAGTATAAATTTTAAAATATAAAATGAATGTTCTAACAATATGCACATCAATGAAACGAGTTCTGGATCCTCTGTTATATCGACTGCCAGTTATATTTATTGACGAATACCAAAACTGAAGGCTGGCAACACAGCAAGCTTAAAGAAAAAAACAAGGGATAGGAGGTGCAAGAACAAGAAGAAGGATCAAAAAATAGTTAAAGATCAGGAAATTATTGCAAGGATGATGGAAGCGAACAAGAAAGAAAGAAAAAAAGTTACCCAATAAAATTATGAATTGGGTTAATCAGATTGTTAAAACATTCAACCGAACAGAGATAATAAAATAAAGGGCGGATTGTGATGTTTTGAATGAATAAGTAGGAAAATACAATAAAGTTGCTTAAAGTGCAGGTATAAATAAATAAGGGGTAGTGTAATAATTTAATAAAACTTGATAAATATAAATAAAAAAAACAAAAAAAAAATCTGAAATTTAAGAGAGAATCAGTAGGAAAGAGAAGGGAAAAAAAAATAAGAAAAAAAAAGAGAAATTAAAAAGGGAATAAAAAGGAGTTGGAGAAAATAAGTAAAAAAGTAAGATTATGTATAAATATGTGTTAATTAAGTTTTAATTTTGGTTTTGATAAATGTTAGGGTTATAACATTTATGTTGTGGGTTTAATTGATAAATTAAATTGAATGTTAGGAATTGATTGTTGTGGTTAATTGATTGTTAAGTTGAATTTGAGAGATTGTAAATGAAAATGATGATTTTGAGTTATGAATTTTGTTTGAATGGTGAAATTATGTTAGAAATAAGGAAAGAACAGTGAGTTTCTGTTGAAATTCTGGGTTGGAGGTTGAAGATGACGAAAATTCATTTTGGTCCCTCAATTTTAAAAAATTACAGTTTAGTCCCCAAACTTTGGAAAATTACAGAATGGTTCCTGGAGCATATTCTGAGATTCTGAACAGAATAAAATATGAATTATGGGCAGAATTACTGAATAGTTATGAAATTTTAAAACTTTCAATTTAGTCCTCCTCCAATTTGATAAAAATTACCATTTGACCCTAAAAATTTGGTAAAATTCCAGAATGGTCCCTGGAGTATAATGAGATATTCTGGACAGATTTGAGGATTAATTATGGTCAGAATTTCAGTATATTCATGGATTTATGATAAATTTTAGTTTGGTCCTCCATTTGACAAAAATTACAATTTGACCCTAAAATTTTAAAAAAATTCCAGAATGGTCCCTGGAGCATAATTAGAGGTTATGGACAGAAATGAGGATGAATTATGGGCATAATTCCACTATAGTCATGAATTTATGATATGTTTAGTTTGGTCCTCCAATTAGATGAAAATTACAATTTGGCCCTAAAAATGTGATAAATTCCATATTAGTCCCTAGCTGTGATGTTAGCCTTTTCAGATTGGTTTGATGAATAATTTAGGGTTATTTAGTGAATTATTACCAATTTTGTTATTTGTTTTATTATGGATTAGATTTCGGAAAAACCGTTAATTTTTGGGTTTTTAGGAAAATAACTAGTTTAGTCTAAAAACATATAGGGTTATGGAATAGACCCTTAATTAAGTGTATTAAATAGGCTATATGTTCTTTTGAGTCATTATTTAATATGTTTCCTTTATATTCAAATAATCTTGATATTCTACCGGCGGGACGTTAGTAGGATTTTCTCCGGTGTCTGCTTTTGACTTTTGTTTGCTTCGAGTCAGGTGAGTGGATAATCTTCCATATGCATGAGAAATATTATAAATATTTGATTTGTTAATATTTGATTTGTTAATATGAATTGGATCATGCTTCTTGATAATATATATGTTGACTATTATCCTTGTTATGATAAACATGATCATTTGTTAAATCCAAATTCTTAATATGAACCAATATGTATTTTGAATTGACTTCTGAATTGATAGCTCCTTATTTGATTGACGTCATGAGTTGAGCTTTGAAATATGAATATGTCCGTTTGATTATGATTATGAACCTATAGTATGTCAGTCAGAATACCTATGCCAACAGGATAGTGTTAGTCTTTGTGCATATCGTATCTGAACCCTAGTTGGTCGGGGGAGTCACCAACCTGTATAGAGTGATCATCCCACAGTATGGAGCCTCATGCTCATTGCATTTTGATTTTCTGACGAGTTTTACCATATGATATTCTTGTTATGGCCTGTTTGATAAACTTTTCTATAAGAACCTAGAGCCATACTTGTATATATATATTTCTCATTGTTGTATTACCTCGTGTGTGTATATTGAACGTTATCTACTCACTGAGTTGTTGAACTCACTCTCTCATTATTTATCCTTTTCAAGCGTATAGCTTGATAGCAGGTCATTTTTGTTAGATCTTCAGAACCTGCTCTTTTGATTGTAATTTGTGCCTTTCTTTATGTCTAGTCAGTGCTCCAAAACTCTTGTATTAAGACAATTAAGTTATATTATGAAATTAGTTTGTTGTTACTGCTATGTTGAACTCTGATTGACTTATTAAAAGATAAGTTTGTATGTAAGTTGGGGTTCACATAGGTATGAAATCTTGGAGGGGAACCTTGTCTATGTGCCGGTCATGAATCCAAAATTCGGGTCATGACACGGATTGATATAAACACATATGTAGAACCCAAATTAAAATGATACAATATGAATTATTCAAATCAGACATATAAAAATGAATGTTGCTGTAGTCAAGGAGGAGAAAAAAAAAAAAAAGATGTTCGGTGCTTGCATAGAGTGTGTCAAGAAATAAAAGGGACGTGGAATCCACTATGTGTGTCAGTAAAGGATTGTTTCCATTCCAACTTCATCATCTACTTGCAAAATGCTCTCAACCCCCAAGAACAAAATTCAAAATACTTGAGGCTGGTTGAGCAAGAAATAACCCAGAAGATATATATATATATATATAAAAGGATTTGGCAAACCAAAACAAGTGATGGGTGCAATTATAACAGAAGAAGAATACGATTTGTTAACATACTTGATTTTGAGCCGGCATAATTAAGAGCAAACAAAAAGTTTCTTTTACTAGAAAAATAAGCATCGAAGCCAGCCAGCCAGATCTAGGCAATGAAATGCCTATCCTACACTAGACAACTGAAGAAGAGAAAGAAAAGAACAAAAGTTGAAAAAAGAAAAGCATAGCCATCAAAGCCAATCGGCATCGACAGAGAGTTTTACAGTTAAGGCAAAAATCACATGAAAACTACAGAGAAGTTGAGTGCCACAACAATGCATAGGGATAGAGTAGGAGGAGGTGTAATGGGGAAGAGAAGGAACCACCAACCGAAAAGAAAAGGACTCATAGGAGTAGAATGAAAAGGAAAGCAAGAAGTTAACTCACCCTGAATGGAGAAGAGACAAGAGACAAGACAAAGGGATGAGACCAAAATCTCAGCTAAAGGTTTAGATTGCAAGAACTAGGAGAAGATATCTTGATGGAGGAGCCTCGTTCATGAATCATGTCATGTGTGGCTTTTCTTTACTCGTTATTATTCCATTTCCAATGTAAAAGAGCTATAAATAAAAAATAAAAAATACTAAAGGAGAAGTCATATTCACTGCGGCTATATACTCGGATTAGAAGTCTCCCTCTCTTTCTTTCTTTCAGGCCAGCTTGGCTGTTTATTAAATAATTTTATAATTTTATAATTTTGGAAATTAAGAATTATATATGAATCTAGTAACCCTGACTCAAATTTATAATCATTAAACAATAAATCTAAAAGTTAATTAATTAATTAATTTACTTATGAGGGTTACTCGAATTAGTATGAAATGATGCCTTTAATTTTTTTTTAAAAAAAATTGTTTGCAAGGAATTAAAGTACAAGGCCCAAAATAACTAGGCAGTGATCTATAGGGGGATTAATTGATTTTTTCAGGGGTAATTTTGAAAGAATTAAAAGTTGAAGAGTCTTTTAAGGACTGATTTGATTACTTTGGAAACCAATGACTGTTTTGTAAATGACGCCGAAATCCAGGGGTAAAATTAAACAATTCCTTGAATAAGGTCCCACTTGCTAAATGTCAGAACTTCAGGGGGCAAGTTGAAATTAGCCATATCAGTCAAGAAACAACGGCGTCGTTTCATGAGACTACAATTCATCACCTTCTTCCCCATCCAGGGAAGGCCAGTCCAGAAGCTGCTCCAAATCAAGGGTCATGTCCCACAAGATGCATTACAAACTCCCCAGTTTTTCCTCAAGCGCGCATGGACGGACGTGACTCCCAAGATCATTATCCACGTTCTCTAGCTTTATAAAAGCCAGAGAAAGAACGACACAGGAGGGGGTACAGAAGAATTAACAGACGATAAAAAGAGAGGGAACACAGAGAGAAGAGGAAAACGAAAAAAAAAACAGACAAAAACACAGAAATAAGAACAACACAGAGAGAGACAGAACGAGAAAACACACACAAGAGAGAGGAAGAGGAAAAACAAGAAAAAAGAAACACAAGGAAGATCTGGTGATTGATTCACCCGATCCAACCAAAGAAAAAGAAACGAAAGAATTTTTTTTCTTTACAAAAGGAGGAAAACAATCATCTACTTCAACCTCAGCATTGTTCAGAGAGAAGGAAACGTCGCCAAAGCAGAGCTCCCGGGCTGAGACAGAAACGAAGAAGTTTGCTGGAAGTGAAAGGTAAGTTTCGATTTCTTAATTTTAGTTCACTCCTCCTGTAGAAGGCTAATTGTCCACGCCTTTCAAATTTAATCACTCCCTTCCTGTAGCAAGCATGCGTGAAGGACACATGCGTGCAGTCCTGCCCGCTTGATCAGACAGGGCCGGCTGGTCCAGCCCAGCAGTACAAAGAAAAACCAGAAAAAAGCTGAAATCGGGCTCGGCCTCGGCCGAGCTGGCCTAATTTTTTGGATCAGAGGTTTGTTTAGTAAAACATAACCTTATACCTTACTTCTTTATTTTTATTTCATCTCATTTTGTTTTGATTTTTAACCCAACAAATATTTTTGAACATCAGAAAATTCCAGAAAAAATTAGAAGTATTTATTTATTTATTTATTTATAAATCCTTCACACTTTATTTTTGATAATTTCACTATATATTTGATTGATTAATTTTTATTATGAAATGTAAATCTAGTATGCGATACATACCTATCTTTAAGTGTGTGTATATGTTTTGCTTTGCTCAATTCATTTTAATAGTTTATTCACTAGTGTTATAGTTAAGAATACCATATATTTTTTTTTGCTATGTAATATTTATCAATGTTAAAGTTGAAAGTATCCGTAGTCGAATATTTACTAGCGCTAGAGTCAGAAATATTATAAGCAAATCATAAAAAACAAAACAAAACAAAATAAAACAAACCCTTAGCAATTTAAAACAAAATCAGCAAAGCAGTCTACCCCAGGTAAAACGTCTAAGGAATGACAATATCTTTCCTTTTATGTAACCAATCTCATACTATAAAATATATGTTGACCAGTTAGGATTTCTTGTAACTATAATACTAGGTGAAAACTCCTTAAACAAGACATTTTCTTATCCAAAAACTAGATGTCAAATATTTGTTCTTTTCCACAAATTTGATTTTTAAAGGTCGTCGCGATGTCAGGTGCAACAATAATAATAGTAGTAATGATGATGATGCTAATACAATAATAACAATAATAGTAACAATAATGTTAGTTATGGTAATAATAATAATAGTGATGGTGGTGATAAAAATAAAAATATTAATAAAAATAATGATATTATTGATGATGGTGGTGATGGCGGCAAAAATAAAAATAATAGTGAAATAATAATAATAATAATAATAATAATAATAATAATAATAATAATAATAGCTAAATTAATGATGATAATATTAATAGTGATAATAATGATAATAATAGTGATAGTAATAATAATAATAATATGTTAAAATGATAATGATAATGATAATGGTTAATGTAATAATTGTAATGATTATGGTAATAATAATAAAAAGTATAGTTATAATATTAGCAATAATGATATTAGTAGTAGTAAAAAATATATTTTTGAAGTATTTTTATTAATTTTAGTATTTTTAGTGTCTTCTTAAAACAATTTAGAATTCTAAGAACTTTTTTTTTCAATGCATTTAATTTTTAATTTTTAATATGCCATTTTCAAAATTATTGATTAATTTTTCTCAATGTCTTTTTCAAAAAAAATTAAAAAACCAAAACTAATATATATAAAAGGACTAAACATTCGAAAAATAAGGGACTAAAGCAAATTTAGATTACTTGAATACCATCTAAGTAAGGGGAAGAAAACAATATTTTTTAACTGAATCTTAAACAAAAAAAGGAGATAAGGGGGAAACAAGGAAGGAAAATAAAAATTAAAAAAACTTTTCCTACATTCTCTCCTCCACTCACTCACAAAATACCCTAATCCTTTTTTCAAACATATTTGCCAGCAACTACCGACAATTCCAACCACAACCAGTAGATCTAACTTTCTAAGCTCTCAACCATCCATCCAAATGAACTCACCAAACTCACTACACACTTAACCATCCATTTAGTCATACACAAAAAAAAAACCCTCTCAACTGCCTTCCCTCACTCTTCTAGCCAAAAGCAACCCTATCTCTTCTATAGACACTACGCTAATCACTCATCATAAATTGTCTATGCCTCTTGCTTCTTCGTTTCTTAAAAAAAAAAAAACCATAAATCTCCACTATGACCTCCATTAATTAAAGAGCAGCAACGTCATCTTCTCCTTCGATTAACGATGTGTTCGATAACGTATCATTATGAAAGATCTAGCAACTGGAACCAGTGCCACCAGACCTATCTTTAAATAAAACTCGTCTTTCCTCCATTACCGAAACCAACACCTAATGCCTTAAGATCAACTAGTCTAAGAGTCATTAGCTGAAAGCTCGTTACATGGGTTAAAGATGCATTGTGTTTTTAAGTTATATGTATATTAATAATAATAAAAAAAAGAGATAATAATTATAACCCAAGGAAGTTAATCTTAAACATTAGAACAAAAAATTTGTTTTCTTTCAAGTAAAGCCCCATAACTATGTGTTGATATATTGAGCATAAAAGAAAGGTTTATTAATATCTTGTTTAAAAGTTATTGAGCAGATATATAAATTTAATGAAAGTTTGTTTATCTTGATAGATTAATAGAAGGTAAATGATAAATACCTCACTTTGTGGAATTTGCAAATTATTTTTCTATTTTAACGCTTTGATTACTAGGGACTAGTAATAAACTGGTTGAGATGTGTGATTAGTACTTAAAAGTGTATTTTTATTAAGGTTTTATATCATCATTTTGCATTTGAAGTATCAATAACTTCTTAAATAAAGCACGTTTTATAATAACATATCTAATAATATAAGATACCATTAATTTATGGTAAATATTCATCTTAAATGTAGGCTTATCACATAAAAAAATGATTGATTGATGAGTTTAAGTACTAAAATTGAAAGGACAAATAAATGGCCAAACGTAGAAAAGAGATATTGATGTAGTCCAAACTGGAACATTGTTTGGTAATTGGGTCATAT